TATATATATATATATATATATATATATATATATATATATATATATATGTATAAAGGCATTTTAAACTCTTCCCACACCCTTCCAATATTCTAAACAATGTTTCTAAACTCTAAACGCTCTAAAAGAGCACAGAATGTCATGATTTCAGCTCCATGCCTCCGCTGCTCTCAGTTACCTGCAAGCGCTCTTGGCCACACCCACTTCTACACTCTGTACGGATAACAGCTGATCAGCTTCAGCATGAAGTTTAAACTGCAATATGGGTTGCACAAAGGTGCAAGAGTGTGCTTTTTCTGCAGCTCTGGGCTGCACAAACAGGTGCTAAATAATTTAAAATACTTTATTTTAAATAAAAATTCCATGCCAATCGTGCAGCTCATCCATCAATCAGCCAATTGTGTGTCATGTCCAATCTTATTTTGAAAAACCACGATGGAGCGAGTCCGCGATAAACGAACTGTGATGTAGCAAGGGACTACTGTACATGTGTGTGAATAAGAGGGAGGCATGTGGAACAGTGAGGCTACAAGGAGCAGAGGTCACAAATGGCACTTTGCCACCGTCTCACCTCTTCTCAGTTTTACACAACACTGCACCAGTTAATGGTCTTTCCACTGTCTGTATCCACCCCACTGAGCTCGGTTTATGGGACCACCTTTTTTTGGTTCCAAGAAGGCTGCTCCGAGTGACCAATTTTGATGTAAGCAGACAGCAGCCGTTGATTAGCCAGCGGAGCTACTTCACTGGATGACCCACCCAACAAAATTGCAAACTACATCTGAACTTCCACTTCCTCGTCATATTTATGGATGGCGCCACTAGAAATGAGCACATTTACCGAGCAATATCAGAGATGATGGCACAGCATGGTTACATCCGGACTCCTAAGCAGTACTGAGATAAGCTAACAAAATTCTAATTTGATTATAAGGCGATTAAGGACCACAATGGGCGGAGTGGCTGTAACATAAAAAGACCATCTACAATCCCACCCACTCTGCATTGACAATCAAAACAGGTCAACCTCACTGTAGTGATGAATCATCTACACCTGAGAAGAACCGAGAAGAGGTGAGCCGAATGGAGCCGCACTTACCAATGGCAAAGTGGCAATAGGTGCAGAATTTCAATGACTTGGGGTTAACTTAGACTCAACTGGTGTTGAGGTTCTCTTTAGGAGTGATGATGAAGAATAAGAATGAGATCATCAGAGGTACAGCACAGGTTGAACAACTGTGAGATAAAGTTAGAGAGGCCAGACTGAGATGGTTTGGACATGTCCAGAGGAGGGACAGTGGGTGTACTGGTAGAAGGATGCTAGATGCAGCTGTAGGAAAAAGACAAAGAGGAGATATATGGATGTAGTTAGAGAGGACATGGAGGTAGTTAGAGTAAGGACAGAGGATGCAGAGGACAGAGTGAGATGGAGGAGGATGACTCGTGGTGACCCCTGAAGACAGAAAAGCCAAAAGAAGAACACTGATGTATGCACATGTCCTTTGCCTGCTACCTAAGATGCTATGCTCTGAGTGTTTGATGTGGCTGAAATATCTAGAATTTCAGGATTTACTCAGGGAAAACTCAGAGAATTTTGTTTTCATGTAATGCTGGGAACCCTAGTTTGGTAATCTGCTGTATTAAGAGCTTAAAATAAATAAAAAAAATACAACTAACTCAAACACAAGTCTGCTATCCTGGACAAATTATAAACTGAGTAAGAAGTACAGTAATTAAATAAATTCTGAAATTATGCACGTCATGACTGTGGTACCAGTACAAAAACACTTCCTTGATGTGTCTTCCTTCCTATGTTACTTTATCTCACTTTTACCCCCGTGTTGTCTTTTTTTTTTTTTTTTTTTACCTCAGTTTTGACACAAATGAAGACAGGGAGACATCTCGTCTCAAAGAGAACACACAAGTGCAATACATTTTGCTGTCTGACACCAGCATCGAAAAGGTAGCAGCTGATGTTAACGTTTTTACCAAATTTCACTCATTTCTTATATCTTTATTTTGAAGAAAACTAACATGCACCTGCTTATTTTACTTCTTGAATTTCTCTGAATTTGAGCAGAGTAATGACGAGGATTCAAATGAGGAGAACAGCCAACTCAAAAGCACCCCGAAAGGCCGCAAAAAGATCCGTAAAATTATTGAGGACGAGGACCTGCGTGCTGAGACTCAGGAAGCCCTCAGGGAGGAGGAGGAGAGACGCAAGCGTTTGGCAAACAGAGACCAACAGATGGAAGACAGGAGAGAGGTATGAGTTTATATTAGCAATGTTAACTCACTTTTCTAATAAGTCGTACATTACAGCTTTGCTAGCATTTCTAACTTCTCTCAGAATTTAACAATTTGGTTATCATTATTATTTTCCAGATCATAGATGATGAGCAGTCTCAGTTGTGTCCCATCACGACCAAGCTGGTCCTGGATCAAAATGAAGAGACCAAGATGCCAATTGTCCAGGTGCACAGGAACCTGGTTACAAGACTGAAGCCTCACCAGGTGGACGGTCAGTCTGTGCTCTTTGAAGAGAACAGTAACGAACACAGTTTGTCTCTTTTCCACAGCACGGGCTCTGAAATGGAGGTTAAATCATTTTGTGGTTACCTCATTTGGTTGTTCCTAGTTTACATGCTGCACAGCTTATTTTAGCCTGATCTTCCCGGTAAAACGAAAATTCCCGTGGGAAACTAGAGTTTTATTGTAATTGTCCAATAGGTGTCCAGTTTATTTGGGACTGCTGTTGTGAGTCTGTGAAGAAGGCCAACTCCTCTCCTGGATCAGGCTGTATACTGGCACACTGCATGGGACTGGGAAAGACTCTGCAGGTGAACATTTGAGTTTCTGTATTTACTTAAACAGTTCTTTGGAGAATAAAACCAAATATGTGACCCGTGGCAAAATGAGTCTGCATGAGCACAGGGTGGAGTTCAAAAACAAGGAAATATCCACTTTTGCAATAATTGAGACAACATCCAACAATCCCTGTAACTAAAATAGCATAAAATCTACCTTTTAAGTCAAAGTTTTGTAACAGGTATGACTTCAAAAATAATCCTTTAAACTTGAGTCCTTTTAATTTACTTTAAAATTGACCATTTCTCTCTGCTGGTAAATCCCTTCATGTAATGTCTGGGGTCATAATAAAGCATGAGTATTCCCCTTTTAAAATATAGGGATAGATTTCCTAAAGACATTACCCCAGACCAATAAAAATTTAGTTTTCAAACCTGGCACCTTTATGAAACAAAGTAGCTTGTTGCTAACCAGGTGATAAATCGCCAAATTTCAACAAGTTTTATATATTTTGAAGAATTTAAGATGAAGAATTTGAAATGTCAATAACATAATAATAAAAAAAAACTCATTGTGACTTAATTTGCTAACACGGATCACATATTTTAAAATTGCTTGATAGTTGCCAAAAAAAACAAAAAAAAAAAACATAGTTCTATAAAACACTAAAGCGTGCACTGGTCACGTGACCTTGTGATTAACTGGAACAATGGCAGCCATTACTAAAACGGTCAAACGTCTGCACTTGGTGTTTTGACTAAGTAGGCCTGATTAAGGGCTGACTATATAAAAAATGTCAATAATAATAATAATAAAATGTTTGTAATATATTATTTGAATGTATATAAATATGTAAACATGCCAGAAATCTGTGCCCTATGTATGTTAGCAGCAGAAAAGGGAAAACGTCAACATGTCTTCTTTCACAAGTCAGCAGATTTGATCTTATTTACCTCAGTCTGAATGTTATCTGACCAGAACTGAAGCTAATAATATAAATGTTTAAAAGTAGCCAATGAAGCTGATGTAATGGCTGTTAATTAATGAATTGGCTCGTATTCTTCTGTGGCAGATATTTCTGTGCTGTACAGGCTGAATCATGCTACAATTTAGTACAAATGATTAAATAGTACAAGCTGCTATTTTCTCTGTTACAGTTCATTTTCTGCTCTCTTTGACTGAATTCTAAAAAAGTACTTTTTAATCTTATGTATGGATTACACACTGATTACTGCAATTAGCTGCAGCTAGCAGAGCCTACATAAACATAATTTACATGTTAAAAAGGTTAATTACAAATTCATCAATTAACTGAAGTTGTAATTATTTAACCAGCTAAAAGTCTTCAAATTATTAAAAGTCCAGTCATCAATTATTGACTGACTTCAAGTCTAGTTTAGATCATCATTAGTTAGGCCCAATACATTTTCCTTCTAACATCTAGCTGTTTGACATGGAATTAACATTAATTATGAATTATATGAAGTTACTGTAGATGTATTAATAATAATTTGTGACACAGATCCAGTTGGGCTTGCTGTTAATTAAACAGTTGTTGGCTGTGAGCAGTAGCTCGTTTTGGACGCAGTCAGATCTTCTCATGTCACAAATGTAAACAATGGAGTGGACGGGCAGAGTACATGCATGCTAGTGGTTTTATAGAACTCTATGACAAAACCACAGTGTTTCTTGTAATCCAACTAGTTTGTTCAGTTCTACCCCCATGTTCACTGTGGTTTTATTTCTCAGGTGGTAGCGTTCCTTCATACAGTGCTGCTCTCATCAAAGCTGAACTTCTCAACAGCCTTGGTCATATGTCCACTTAACACCATCCTCAACTGGGTCAGTGAGTTCAAGAAATGGCAAGCTGACATGGGCGATGATAAAGTTAAGGTAAGCGATAAAATAATGATATGGTTTTGGCCTGTCAATGTGTTTTAGTTCATAAAAATGTGCTCCAGGTGACAGAGCTGGCTACAGTGAAGTCTCCCGCGCTGCGTCTCAAAGCTGTGCTGAAGTGGCAGACAAACGGAGGTGTGCTGATAATGGGGTACGACATGTACCGCATCCTGTCCCAAGGCCATAAAATCAACACCGAAGAGTGGAAGAAATTGTTGAAGAGTGCATTAGTGGATCCAGGTTCAGAAACTTTGTAAAAACATGCATATCAAAATACTTCCTGTCTTTTGTAATTTCTTTGCTCATAGATGTTATTTTATTTTATTTTTCAGGTCCAGACTTTGTGGTTTGTGACGAGGGGCACATCCTTCGCAATGAAGCTTCGAGGATCTCCAAAGCCATGAACACCATCAAGACCCAAAGAAGGGTGGTGCTAACGGGTACACCTCTTCAAAACAACCTTGTTGAGTGTAGGTCTTCACCACCACATCCTAACAGATATAAGGATACACTTCTTCTTACCCCCTTCTCACTTTTACGTATTTACCCTGTTTTTATGTTATATTGAGATTGATGCTGTAAGAAAATATTACATAATTTTTTTTTTTTTAATTTTGATTCTGTGAGCTCCAGCAATGCCAGTTTGCCACAGATTTGTTGGTCATAGGTTTTGTAACATAAAACCTCATTTCTTTGTAGGAACTTTAAAACATCACATACAGTATACTCCACATAAAAACCACAATAATAAAAGGTACATAGCAGTGACCCAACAATACAATTACACAATCTTTTGCTATGCATGCAAATGCTCTGGCTGCAAAGCCACAATATTGTGACATACTTGTGGCACTGTTATGTGTAATATCCAACAATGTTCAGTCAGGTCATCTGGCTGGTTTCTTTTTTTTTTTTTTTTTTGTGCTGAGACGTTTCGCCCTCCATCTGGAAGGAGGGCGAAACGTCTCAGCTCAAAAAAAAAAAAAGAAACCGTCCAGATGACCTGACTGAACATTGCTGGATTCTATACCTGAATTATTGAGCATGGACTTTGGCGTTATGTGTAGTAGATGTTGCCAGTGCTCATCTTTGCGTATCATTAGTGTATTGTGTCTGCTTGGCGTCACCTTTTTTGTTGGCTGTTCTCTCTTCAGCGTTCGCTGCAGTGAGTAATTCTCCTCCTCCATCTCTCTCTGTCCTCTGCATCCTCTGTCCTCTCTAACTGCATCCATGTATCTCCTCTTTGTCTTCTTCCTGGCAGCTGCATTTCTAACATCCTTCTACCAATATACCCACTGTCCCTCTTCTGGACATGCCCAAACCATCTCAGTCTGGCCTCTCTAACTTTATCTCCCAGTTGTTCCACCTGTGCTGTACCTCTGATGATCTCATTCCTAATCTTATCCATCCTTGTCACTCCTAAGGAGAACCTCAACATCTTCATTTCCACCACTTCAAGTTCTTTCTCCCGTCTTTTTGTTCATGTTCCTGCCTCAAGACCATACGATATAGTTGGTCTCACTATTGTTTTCTAAACATTTTCTTTCACTTTTGCTGCCACCCTTTGGTCACAAATCACTCCTGAAACTTTTCTCCATCCACTAGTGATGTTACCTCTAACACCGAAGCTTCAAAGCATGCTTCAAACTCGATAGGGTAGTTATGCTGAAGCAGTGGGCCGGAGCTCGCTTCATGTGACGTCACCGATGACGTGTGAACCACTTCACTGCTTCATTCAGACCGAGTAAGCTGACTGCTTCGAGTTGACAGGTGGAGTTTCAATCATTTGGTGTGATTCAGTGTATTTAAGATGCTCAAGCCCCGGTTCACGTCCCCGTTCTACACGTATTACACGTTATGAACAGCTCTTGTTTTTTTATATTCAGACAGTGGTTCATTTGAGCTGGATCCTGTCAGAACAAGATCCTGGAACTCTATAATTTTGACCACTCGGATCCGCCAACTCCGTCCCTAAAAGTCCAAAGTCATCGCGCATTTTTATTTTGATTATTTATTAAAAGTACAACGAGTGGATGTTCTGGCCGCGCCACGCTCCTGCCAGCAGAGACATGGACTGCATGTCCCGCGGGGAGCGTCTTCATCCTCCTCCAGCTGTGCGCCCTGAGACAGGTGTTTTACGCACAGCGTCTCCACACAGCTCTGCAGGACGCGCGCACAACTGCTGTGTCGGAACTCCTGCGTACATTACAGTGCATAACATTTCAGACATAATAAATAAGCTTACAGTAAAAAAAACAAAAACGAGTGAAATGTTTGATGTGTATTACATCAAGTATCAAAACAACGGCACTAATTAGTCAAAATAACAGCAACCAAAATATTGAAAAGACAATTTATCTAAAATAAATGGATGGATGATCAGTGAGATTGGAGCAGAACACACAGGACTGAATTCAGCTGAGAAGAGTTCAGGTCGGCTGTGTGTGTGTGTGTCCGGGGGGAGGGGGGGGGGTAGGACACCTGACAAGACTGTCAAGGACGTGCATTCATACACAGGCATAGTAATTTCAATTCAACCTCTATTTATACAGGTTTAGCCTTGAGCCTCGTCAAGAGAGACCTGTTTTTAACCAGTTTATTCAAATGTTTAACAACCTGTTAAAATACACCAAAATGCAGGAAATGGCATCTCTTTTATTCCAATTTTTCTGAGGGAGGACACACGGACCCTATATTTAAATATATATAAATATTTCACCACTAGATGTCACTGAAATGAACCTTTGAATGAATGAACCCAAGTTCAATACAATTGGAAAAGTGGTTCAATACTGCTTTATTGCTTCATTTGGCCATCACTACCATCCACTCCATCCTGCCTGGACTCTCCTCTTCACCTCTTTACCACACTCCTCATTTTCCTGGACAGTGGACCCTAAGGACTTGAAGTCCTGCACCTTTGTGACCTCTGCTCCTTGTATCCTCTGTTCCACCAGCCTCCCTCTCATTCGCACACATGCACTCTGTCTTGCTACGGCTGACTTTCATTTCTGCTCTTTCAAGTACATACCTCCACCTGTCTAGTTCTCTTCCACCTGTTCCCTGTTCTCACCATGTACCATCTCACAACATTGCTCCTGCGTACATTTTGTGTTGTTGGAGTATATGTTGCATTGTAACAGAACCAACAGCATCTACATGGCCTTTTATCAGTACCAGTTGTGGAATGCGTCCAGTCACATGACTTGTACCAATATATGCTGGATTCTATTTGGAGATTAGGTGAGCAGAAGACAAATTTCTAATTAGATCTGCCCGAGTAGAGCAACAGAGAGTGTTAGTAAGAACACAACCCAAATGATAGTTTGTAAAACCAGCTACAGTGGGGCAAAAAAGTATTTAGTCAGCCACTGATTGTGCAAGTTCTCTTACTTAGAAAGATGTGAGAGGTCTGTAATTTTCATCATAGGTACATTTCAACTATGAAAGACAAAATTAGGAAAAATAATCCAGAAAATCACATTGTAGGATTTTTAAATAATTTATTTGTAAATTATGGTGGAAAATAAGTATTTGGTCAATAACAAAAGTTCAACTCAATACTTTGTAACACAACCTTTGTTGGCAATGACAGAGGTCAAACGTTTCCTGTAAGTCTTCAGCAGGTTTGCACACACTGTTTCTGGTACTTTGGCCCATTCCTCCGTGCAGATCTCTCCTAGAGCAGTGATGTTTTGTGGCTGTCGCTGGGCAACACGGACCTTCAACTCCCTCCACAAATGTTCTATGGAGTTGAGGTCTGGAGACTGGCTAGGCCACCCCAGGACCTTGAAATGCTTTTTACGGAGCCACTCCTTCGTTGCCGGAGAGGTGTATTTGGGATCATCGTCATGCTGGAAGACCCAGACACGTTCCATCTTCAATGCTGTCACTGATGGAAGGAGGTTTTGACTTAAAATTTCACGATACATGGCCCAGTTCATTCTTCCCTTAACAAGGATCAGTCATCCTGTCTCCTTTGTACAAAAACAGCCCCAAAGCATGATGTTTCCACCCCCATGCTTCACAGTAGGTATGGTGTTCTTGGGATCAGCATTCTTCTTCCTCCAAACATGACGAGTTGAGTTTTTACCAAAAAGTTCTATTTTGGTTTCATTGAACCACATGATATTCTCCCAGTCCTCTTCTGGATCATCCATTCGTCAGGTCCCTCTGTGTAATGCTGGGATTTTTGCGCATCGTTCTCATGATCATTTTGACCCCACGGGATGAGATCTTGCGTGGGGCCCTAGATCGAGGGAGACAATTGTCTTGTATGTCTTCCATTTTCTTACAATTGCTCCCACAGTTGATTTATTCACACCAACCTGCTTACCTATTGTAGATTCACTCTTCCCACCTGGTGCAGGTCTAAAATTTTCTTCCTGGTGTCCTTGGACAGCTCTTTGGTCTTGGCCATGGTTGAGTTTGGAGTCTGACTGTTTGAGGCTGTAGACAGGTGTCTGTTATACAGATAACAGGTCAAACAGGTGCCATTCATGCAGGTAACGAGTGGAGGACAGAAGAGCTTCTTAAAGAAGAAGTTACAGGTCCGTGAGAGCCAGAAATCTTGCTTGTTTGTTATTGACTAAATACTTATTTTCCACCTTAATTTACACATTATTTAAAAATATTACAATGTGATTTCCTGGATTTATTTTCTTCCTCATTTTGTCTCTCACAGTTGAAGTGTACCTATGATGAAAATTACAGACCTCTCTCATCTTTCTGAGTAGGAGAACTTGCATAATCAGCGGCTGACTAAATACTTTTTTGTCCCACTGTACGTCACAAAGTTTAGCTTTTAACAGAACGTGCTTCATTGTTTTCATGTGTCGACCTACCCAAAAATAATTTCAAAATATGCCATTTGACAAAATACAAAAGTGTGCCTGCATAATTTTTTGGACAAATTGTGTTTTTTATTTTACTGAGTCTGACCATAGAATTTGAAGTCACCCTGTTTTAAATGTGGTTATAAACCTTTTCATCTTTGAACACTGATGGTTTTGGAAGACTCATTTCTGTGAGCTAAAGGTCATTAATGGACCAAAACACTGAGGATGTGTTTTATTTTGTCCCTGCAGATCACTGCATGATGAGCTTCATCAAGAAGAACCTGCTGGGCTCTCTGAATGAATTTCGAAACCGCTTCATCAACCCCATACAGAACGGCCAGTGTGCCGACTCCACCGCGAAAGATGTCAGGGTTATGAAGAATCGAGCACACGTGCTTCATGAAGTATTGGCTGGATGCGTGCAGGTAAATAATAAAAAAGTCAATTAGATGTTTTTTTAATGTTTTTATATTCCAGTTTGACAACACTGTTCATTGTTTCATAGAGAAGAGATTACTCTGAGCTGACCCAGTTTCTGCCTCCCAAATATGAGTATGTGCTGGCAGTGAGGGTCACCCCTCTTCAGTACAAGCTGTACCTCCACTACCTCAACCACGTCTCAGGTAAGAACACGTCTTCTTAAAAAAACAGCTGTGAGATTAACCCATAATCCCAGATTTACAGTAACGAACAGTCAATGATAAACCAACTGAAATGTTTCATGACAAAATTATGCTGTAAAAATGACCACAACCTAAAATGTCTTTAAATGTTTTACTCATTTTTGAAACAGAAACCCAACTATAAACATGCCTTTGTTTATTTTTCTCTCAGTGGGGGGGTCTGAAACCACAACAACAAAGATGAGGACCGGAGCAAACCTCTTCAAGGATTTCCAGGTTCTCAGCCGAATCTGGACTCATCCGTGGTGCCTTAAGCTCAGCGACCTCAGCAAAGAAAACAAGGTTGAAGAAATTTGCCTGCATGTTGAATCCTCATCAGTTTTACCCGACATGTGGTTTAAAATGTGTTTATTCTTATTGCAGCGATATTTGATTAAGAAGAATCAAGTTAGGACAGCAGCTCAACAGATGAATGTAGAAACCATTGTGGCTGAGAGGTAGTCATTTATTGTCCTAATATGATTTTTCAATTAAATGAATATATTAATACTTTAGTTATATACTTTGTACTGAATTTACCATATTTTCTGGCGTATAAGTCACAATTTTTTGCATAGATTTGCTAGTCGTGCGACTTATACGCCGAATCAACTGGATTTTTTTTCCCCATATTCATGACGTAATTTCTGACTGACGCTTTAAATGTTCATTCATTCATACTGACATGAACCAGAGTAAACATTACCCAATGCAGCCGCTAGAGACACGAGAGGGCCCTCTATGCTTTTGACAACTATATTTTGTTCCTCTACCCCCCCCACCCCCCCCCCACCCCCGGCAACACAAACACACACACACAAAAACATTCACTTAGAGACTAAAAGGAAGACGTGAGTAAAAGATAATGGATGGATGGATAGACCACTGAGAAAAATTTAACACAAGTAAAATTCCCCCAAACAAAAAATCCTATTTTGCAGAAGAAAAACTGCAGGTAATAAAATATGCAGCCCAGAACAGTCATCAAGCAGAAAGAAAGCTTGTAAACGGGTGGGGTCCACGCAGTCTTCCCAGGGGATTCAACACGGCGGAAGGGACGGCCACACAGCGGCGGAGGATCCCCCCTTGCGGGGAACTTTCCCTCTGTGTCTGGCTGGCTCCCGCCGGGTGCGTTACCTCCGTGGCAGTGCGACCGGCTCTGGGTCATCCTGGAAGGGTTCGGGGACGAATCGTTCCTCTGCCGCCGGAGCAGGGAGGAAGGAGCAGCGAGGCGCATGATCCACGGCCCCGGGAAGAGAAGCGAGGTGCAGTTGTGGGGACGCTTTAGAGCTCACGTTCCCCCACCTGCATTTTGCTGCTTCCTGGGGCCGTGGATCACGTGGATCACGTGCCTCGCTGCGCCGAAGCAGGGAGGAACACCTGGAGCAAACATGTTTACCGTATTTGCTCAGGGTCAAAACAGCTTCATTTCGCCTGGGCGGCAGAGCGCCCAGAGCTCCCAGGATTTTGAAGCTGTTATGATCATTAAAGTGCATTTATTAAAGAAAAGTTCAACTGAGACAGACCTTTGTTATAATGTCGAACAAACAAATAATAGTTTTTAAGTGTTGATCTTGTTAAATTTCGAAGAACTGCAATGAGTCCTCCTGTGCACGCTCCCATGGCCGTTTTTTTGCAGCCAATCAATTTTTGGCACGACACCGGCCCACGTTTCCCGGGGGTCAGCGGTGATGCATAATAAATGTGACTTATACGCCGAAGCAACTTGTATATGTTTTTTTTTTTCCCTCTTCCTGATTTTTTTTTTTGACTGATGCGACTTGTATGCCAGAAAAACGGTCTACATTTTTTGACTGTATGCAGAACTATTTAAAATTATATTTAGAAAAAAAAATCTGTATCTTTTCTGTAATTATTATTGTTATGGTACATTCATAAACTTTCATTCAAAGACTCAAAGAAGCAGAAGAGGATGGTGGAAGCAGCACGATTGTTGATGCCCCTGAAGATCACCCAGTGGTGGAAGGTATTACAGGAGGTCTATTTGTCACTCCTATAACCAATCCCCCCTTTTGTCAATAGTTTGCTTCTATAGTTTTGTTGTGTCTTACATCTTGTGTAGGAGTGAAACCAGCAAGCAGTTTGAGTCAAAGTAAGGGCTGGTACAAGAATCTGCTGCCTGATGGTGACGCTAAGATCCTGGAGCATTCGGGGAAAATGGTGCTTTTATTTGAGATCCTTCAAATGGCTGAAGACCTAGAGGATAAAGTGTACGTATTCTGGCATAGTGCAAAACTATTTAAACCGTTAATTGTGACTACATTTCACGAAAACCAATTCCTTTTTCTATAGGCTGGTCTTCAGTCAGTCTTTGATCTCATTGAACCTAATTGAGGATTTCCTTAAGGCTTCCCATCGTGCCAGAGATCCATCCAAACCAGTGACTGGTATTATAATGTTTACAGAATAATAATAATTTAGATTAAGTTTATAATTTTAGCACATACGTTTTGATTCCTGTGTTTTCTTGTTTGACCAGAGGGCAGCTGGATTAAGAATGTAGATTATTATCGGCTCGATGGCTCCACCAACGCCTTGTTCAGGAAGAAGTGGGCGGAGGAGTTCAACAACTCCGCCAATGTTCGGTATGCCACTGGAATAAGACAAACAAAAAAAATTCAGTTTCCATTTCACTTTTTATTTAATTTTTCAAAATGTTTTCTTTTTTCTTTTAGTGGCAGGTTGTTCCTCATTTCAACAAGAGCCGGGTCACTTGGCATCAACCTTGTTGCCGCCAACAGAGTTGTAATCTTCGATGCTTCGTGGAATCCCTCGTACGACGTACAGAGCATTTACAGAGTGTATCGCTTCGGGCAGCTCAAACAGGTGTTTGTGTACCGCTTCCTGGCTCAGGTAAGCACAACGGGCTTCAACTGAATCAGTTAAAAAATCTGCTTGTTTTAAAAAGGATTCAGAATGGTTTTGTTGTACGTGTTTTTGTCCCTCGTTGTGGAGCGAAAAGGGGAAACTGGAAACCGTTCATGTTGTGAGCTCGATAACTTGAAAAATTAGTGACGTACCGACCTAATTTTCCATGTGTGGCTACATCTAGGCATAAGAAAGTTTCATTTTTAAAATTGGGCTGCCACGTCCAAATCCAAGATGGCTGCTGCTAAACATATGCAAACCTTATGAGCTGGACAACTTGAAAAATAAGCAACAGGTCAACTTTCTTTTTAGTATGTAAGAAGGGTTTCTTTTGAAAATGGAGTTGCCACTTCAAAATCCAAGATGGCCAAGGTCGTCATGTAAACTGACATACCCCTATCATTTGAGGAAACTACGCGTTCTAGTTTTTATACTGCTTAAAAGTAAAGTTTCCTCAAATGACTGCAGTGGCCAAAAGTTAATCTATGGTGGCCACGCCCTGACTTTGTCGTACCTATGTAAAGGAGATGTGTTGCACTGCGTGAGGCAAATGATGGTCACACCAAATACTGACTGGTTTTCAGACCACTCTCCCCAATACAGTAAAAGTAAATTACACATTTTTAGAGAGGCCTTTTATTGTGGGCAGCCTAAGGCACACCTGTGCAATAATCACAGTTTAATCAGCATGTTGAGACACCACACCTGAGGTGGATGGATCATCTCAGTAACGAACACAGATTTGTGGCAAATATTTGAGATAAAAAAAAATAAAAAAATAGAACCTGATGAACACCAAGTATATTTTGTAATGTTCAGATACATTAAACTCCAGATTTGAAAAATGCTAGACTTTTTCTTTCTCATGATTTTTTGCTGCGTAAACTAAAACAGATATTCTTAATTTGTGGTGGATGGATATCTTACGTGATAAATAATCATTTAGATGAAAAATACTTTTTTTTTTTTTAAGAGTGGGTAATTTTAAGACTTTTTAAAGTTTTTGTTTAAAATCTGATCTCCAGGGCACCATGGAGGAGAAGATCTATGACCGTCAGGTGACCAAACAGTCTCTGTCCTTCAGAGTGGTGGACCAGCAACAGATTGAGAGACACTTCACTCTGAACGAGCTGACTGAACTCTACACGTTCGAACCCGACCTGCTCGACGACCCAAACTCTAAGAAGAGCAAGCGGCCCTCGCCTATTTTACCACTGGTGACTTGACTGACATTTTCTTTGCCGCATCGGTTGCAGAAACGTTATGACGGGTTGTGTCTCCTCCTCAGGACAGTGTCCTAGCGCAGCTGCTGCAAACCTGTAAAGACCAGATAGTGTCCTATCATGAGCACGAGTCTCTGCTGGACCACAAAGAAGAAGAGGAGCTCAGCGACGCCGAGCGCAAAGCTGCGTGGGCCGAGTACGAAGCCGAGGTGAACAGTTGCAGGAATCGAGCTGTAGCTCCTTAAACAACAGCGTTTTATATTATATTCTTTCATTGTGCTGTATTTGAATGTTTTTCATGTGTTTTCCACCAGTCAAACACAGTCTGCCACCCAGTCAGTTCCAGGAAGGACTCTTTGGATAAAAACACCAATGAGAAGCTACTGGTAAAAAATAAAAAATAAACGTCTTAATTGTTCTTTGAACCACTGCAGGTTATGTTTGCGTGGCACTAAACCGCCATTCAACTTTCTTTACAGCAACTTCTGAACAAAAGCAGAGCGCATGTGTCATTAGCGTTCCTGACTCTGCATAAGATGACGTCCTACTCCGTCGAGATCTACAAGCAGCGACTGGTGAGACTCCTTGACAGAAAGACCCCAGGTCCAAACCGGGGATTGAACCCAGGACATTTTTACTGTGAGGCAACAGTGCTAACCGCTAAGCAGTCACGCTGCCATTTTTTAGGCAAAATGAAAAGGAATGAGAAATATTTAACATTTAAAATATATTTTTTGGGCACCAGGTAACATGTTGGCAAGGATTTGGCCCATGGGCATTAAGTTGTACAACAGCAGGATCCTCTGCACTCTGTCTTTATGCCCATTTGTTTTATATGCGAGACGTTTACCTCCACTACTCCCTTCTTTTCTGAAGTTCGACTTGGAGTCTAGTTGTACACTTTACAAAAATTAAGAAAATTTACATTGAAAATATGTAACTTGCGCAAAATAATTGTTGAATAATTTTAATGCAACATTTGACATTCTTGGGCCTTCTCTGAAGGCCTAGAAGGCCCTAAGGATTCCCTTCTGCTGTTGACTGACATACAGCAGAATCTAAAATTCAGTTGAATTAAAATTGGTTTGCTATTCCCCCGCCTCTCACACAGTGACAGCTGCACCAGTGACCCACAAAGGAAGAAGTGGGTAAAGACAATGGATGGATAACAACCACCTTTATCTCATGACTTGACAAATAACTGAATGTTTCATGTCAACTCTTCATTGATTTGACTGGGTTGTTACCTTAAAGAAACAGTTTGGACAGTTTGATGCTGGGTTCTGTGGAATGGTTATAAAACTGTTGCCTGTTGTAAACAGCACTTTGAATACCTCAGTTTGGAGAAATGGTAATAAAGTCCTACAAATAGACAAGCTAGCTGGTTATTCAAACACAGCAACGACCAAAGTGGGTTGCAGCTGCCTTAAGACAACTTTAATCTTCCTAATGTCATGAAGACTGTTTTATCAACCTTCTAAAGCTCAGTCAGTTTAACATTATGCATTTATATCAGCCGAAACAGCCTCTGCACTCGAAGTGCTGCTGCTGCTGACACCGTTTGTCAGTCTTGGTAAACTAGAGGGATGTAATTTCCTGAGAAAATGCAGGGTGAATGTATTGCTGAATGATTTTTGCTGAAAGCTGCTGAAGAAGTTGAAGCCAGCTGAAAAGGTTTCATGGCCAAACTGCTACTGTTAGTTGAATTACTACAGCTGAAGTTTGGTGAAAGCAGGACAATAAAAGTGGAAAGCAGCAGAAATGTGTTTTTAAAAAAATAATAAAGCTGAGTATAGTAGAAATGGGCAGAATAAGCTGAAATGGGCAGAGAGGCTGAGTAGTTAACAAATGTTAGCCAAAAAGAAACTGAGGAGGAAAAAGCTGAAATTAGCCCAAGAAAAGTAGCTGAAGAAAAAAAAAAACTGCAGTTGGCAGAGGCTGAAAGTAGCAGAGTTGAATTTGTTAGACAGAAGCACAAAGGGCAAAGATTAGCAAAATAGCAGGAAAAAAGCTAAATTTACCTGAAAGGAGCATAAAATGCTGAAATTAGCAGAATGAAACAATAAAGGACAAAAAATCTGAAAGTAGCAGAAAGAAGCTGAAAAGCCGAAGCAGTAAAAGATTTTAAACAGCTCAAATGGTTTGAAGGATGTGAAGAGCTCCATTTATTTTCAATTAGGAAAACCATGGGCGACAAAGCCAAATATTTAAAAAGTAAAAATAGCACAAACATTAAAACTCTTAGCAGGAATGTCTTGAATGAGCTGAACGTTTTGATTTAGGAATTGTTGAAATAGAATAAAATTTACTGTACAAGTTACGTATTGAAAAACATCAGCTGTGTGAACGATTTGGAAACATTCACACAATAAAATTTATTAACAAAAAAAATGAAACATTTATAAATTAGCATTTGAATAAATCGCTGTGAATTTTTGGCGACTGGAGGTATTTTAAAACGCTGGCAATACCATGTTGTCTGTGTTTGGACTAGCAGCTGTTAGCTTGTCCGTTCATCACAACAGAGGTCATTCAGAGATCTATCTGCAACAGGTAAGATGTTAACCGTTTACAACCTTTCCATTGAACCCTACCTTCAGATTACTCTTTTAAAATTGTGCATGCTCTCTTGGCTGTCTCTCCCACAGTTCAGAGCAGGTCAAAGTGGGAAGTATGAAAGTATAAGTCCTCAGAATATTCGCTGACTTGATGTTTTGTCCCACAGCGGCAGCAGTATCCCCTCCTGCCTGAGCCCGAGCTGCAGATGAAGGCCGAGTTCTGGAAACAGTGTGACGATAAGAGGCGGGAAGTTACACAGGCCTTTTATCGAGACGCTCTGGCACAGCAGCAGTCGGTAAGTTGAAACGCCTGCCTGTACATATTTGTTTAAAATTGCTTCCCTGACGTTTGAACCGTGTCCTTCCGCAGCTCACGCTCAGAATTCAGGCCATCCTCAACAAACGAAGGAAACTCGTGACGCCCATGATGGTCAACGCTACGAACCAGCCGGAACAGACATGAGGAATGACACGATGAATGTGCCTTAATGTGGAAAAAATGTGCCTTATTGTGGAAAATCTGTGATTTTCCTTCTTTTAAACAGCCTTCTTTTGTTTCTGTAGCATAAAAAGTAACAGGTTCTATATTTTTACTGTGCGGTTTTGCATCATAAGATGTCAAATGAAAATTAGTGTAGGAGTTTGATTTTGAGGTTGTGTGCACTTTATTAACCGACACCAGAAATGTAACTGCAGTTCACACGTTTTTTTTTTTTTATACACTCCTGCACTCCTTTTTGATACATTAAGTCCCTTTAAGGTTTTGCAGTTGAATATTTTCTGCCTTTCTAATAAATAAATATTCACATGGCTGTTTTTATTAATTTTTTTCTTTTGATCAAAATGGAGCCGTTGTTGGACACAACCTGTGAGGACTTAAGATGTTCTGATAGGAATGTAACGTAGACTTTATTTTTATCCACGTCGTGGCTATCAAGAAGGATTTTCCCAAGATTATCCATCTTAAACTTTATATTTTTTATGTTTATTTAATATTATGGTATAATCCACCATGAAGAGTGTTTAGAGTCCCAGTAGGAAGACAGCATGAACCATATCTGTTCAGATATGGTGCGAGTAGAACGACACTTTGGACACTGGTGTCCAAAGTGTGGCCCGAGGGCCATTTGCGGCCCTTTGAGTGATTTTGTGCGGTCCACAGCTGCAGTTAAAGAATTGAATCATTTTGTCCAGCAGGCTCAAGAGGTCAAAGCAGACTTTGTACAAATTTGTTGGTAATCCTTTTTTATATGTTGTTTAGGTTTAATAGCAAAATGGATGGAAAAACAATCTTCTCAAAATGAGCAATATTAAACAAAATACAAACCTTTGGCTATAATCTTTATTTTCACTTGATGGTACAAAGCACCAAAAACCTTTACTGATTTCTGCCAGAAAGGAGACTTTTGGATAATGAGTAATAAAACTGGGCTAAATATTGCAGTTTATAAAATAATAAAGAGGGAAACTGGACATTTTTGAATGAATATAACGTATCCTCTACATACAAGTTGATCAACTTTATCAAACCTATGAATCTGGTACAGCGACTGACAGCTGGACGATTTTTCAGGACTTCGATCAGCCTTCTGGGCCGTCCATGGTCCAAAAGGCTGATGGACCCCCTTTTAAAAGGACACTTACTTAAATTATGCTTTTGTTGCTGAGAACACAATAAAATGAACTTTCCAAACACAAGAGAACAACAAATAGACGCAATAAATCAAATAATTTTTAATAAATAAATATAAACTTGGTGTTTGAGGCTTTTGATGTTTTGAATCAACAATTTAAAACTCCACCAAAAATAATTAACTTTTGTCCTTTCTCCTAAAATATTTCTCATCGTTGAGTTAAATTCACATTTTAGTGGTGTAGTGATGTACATGAGGTACGTGTCACTTGTTGTATGACACAATATATGAATTATATATGCATACAATATTCACGAGTTCTTCATTTTTCTGACTGTAAATGCCGTGCATTGAATTTAACAGAAATGTGAACGAGAGACGTTATTTATCTTTGACCCATCAAATGAATGGAATCATTTATTTTCAAAATCAAAGTTTAACATCAAACATTTACATTAATTTGGCAAAATATGAAAATAATAACAGACAGTTTCACAGAAAATGAACTTCAAATCACTCGGCGGTGATTTGAGGACTTTGCTTAAGATATTTCTAAAATATCTGTACTGATTTATGAGAGAGAGGTGGGTTTTAGAGTGAAAGGAGATTATCTTACAGAGAACTGTGTGAGGGAAGTTTAATCTGTTTAACCAGAAATTGCACGCTTCGTCAGATCCTCAGCCCGTCCACGGTACACTTGAGTCGAAGAGGAAATCTTTACCTGGTTTGACGATGGATCAGCTCAGTAAGAGTCCTTCAGACTGTTTCAGCGCCTCCGTTCAGAACAGCTAGAAATCCTCGGAGAGTCGTGCGTGGTTAGTTCAAAACAGAATTATAATCCCAAAACGTCCCTGGTTCTTCATAACTCCAAACTCTTCATAACCGGCTGCACTCTCAATCTGCTCATTCTGTTGGACTATCGGACCTGTTGTCAGCTCTCATTCCAACATCTCTCAGAACTCTCATTCTCTTGGAATTCTGGAATTCTTAATTCTTCTCATTCTCCCAGACTCTTGGACTCTAACATGAACTGAGAAGTTGCCACATTTTATTTGGGTCGACTTCCTGTTCAATTTAGAGCTTTCTGATTCGTGGAAGGACCAGAAAGAGGAGTGGTTTCTGACGTAAGTTGTTTATCAACAGTCGAGGTCAGAGAATGAAACTTGTTTAACATACAGAAAAGATTATTGCAGAAGCAGCAGACTTTTTGGAGTCTCACACTTTGTAATCTTCTGAAAAAGTAAAACATGACATTTCTTCTTCAGTAAACATTTTAGTTGACCGAAGACCAACCTTTCACATACTTACGACAGTTTGCTCATTTCAGACAGGAAATCAAGAAAGGCATATTCAGGTGATTTCTGCTTTGAATGAGGAACAAAAATCATTACTTACTGTTTATGTAAAATAAAAATTAGTCGTTCTTTTCAACCTGTAAAGCATTGAGTGAACTAACACAATTTGATTATCAAAACATTTGTAAGACAGCAATGATTATAAAGGATTGTCTTTTCTGCTTGATTAATTCAAGAAAGAAAGTTCATCAGATGGTTCAGACTTATTCAGATCAATGAAAATAACAGTCTCTGTCCATCTGGTATATTTGAGGTTATCTGGTTCACTACAGTGGCCTACCAGTCATTTTGAGTTTTGTCCCACATATGAAAACATTTGGAACTAACTAAAACTGAGCAGCTCTGTCAGCTGACACAAAACATCTTTAATCAAAGATTGTTGCTCCTAGTCTTTATCTTTAGAAGGTACAAAATGCAGGCAACAAAAATAACAAAAAGGCCTCATGAACAAGGCAGGATTCATGAATGTTAAAGTAGAAACAAATGCCAATATTCATCATGTTATTTCTGGAAAACAAAACGCGTGGAACGATTTAAAGAGTAGAAAAATACAAATGCACTGAAAAAAACCTTCAAACAGGAAAAATCTAACAAAGTGGTACAGCAGCTTTGGCAGGAGACACATTAAAAAAGGTGGAGAATATCCCAGCATGCACCGAGGCAGAGAAAAAAAAGCCTTTACTCATACTGATGAGCACCATAAAATGGTTTAAATACAGATATTGATTAAAAATAATTAGAATATCTGTAAATGTGCAATTCTGATTAATAAAAAAAACAGTTGAGACCCAACACCCTCACTGCCAAGGAGTTATTTAAATTAAATATTTTATTGCTGAAAATAAAAATGTTAAACCTTTACAAATGTGCATGCATTGGTTTAATGACGTATACAAGCAAAATCTCTTATTTTATTTTTTTTACATGTGGAGTGATGTTTGAGTTATTTGATTAAACTGTTAAAATAAAAATCACTGCACAAAAACCGGTCCCTCGGTGCATCTGAATTTTCCTGCAGATACAAGTCCAAGGTTCTGAGCGTGCTGTTGAAGACTGTTTAATTTGGGGTCCGTTCCTCCGTCGACCTGAGCTTCACATGTGAAGAGTCCAGGTGGGACTCGTGCAGCAAGTTAGTGTCCTGTGTCCAAGTCCCTCATGTAGTCCTGAAGCGCCTGCAGTCTCGCGTCGATCTCCGACAGCTCAGCTCCCGTGTTTATTGAGCTCTCTGCAGTTCGTAACAAGACATCATGATCAGACGTGTTTTAAGTTTTTATTTCATTACAGAAAATAAATCAATTACCTTTGTCTTTAACTCTGTATGTTGGAGTACTGCATAAAGGCTTTCTGGTCATGAGGCCTCTAGACTAAAAACACATAAGTTGCACATTTAGAAACAGGATTTCTTTAATTTTTTTTTTACTTTCAACAAGCTTAAAAAAAATAGATTCTGTGCTCAATTCACCAAAACAAAGTCACGCTGACTCCATTTGATTCTGCTCAGCAACACCGTTTTGATCAAGAAATCTTGTGACATTTTAATACTGAGATCGAAAGTTACGTATTTAACTACGGTTCAATGAATCCCGGATGACCGCCATAGGGCGGTGCTGAAAGCACTGAATGTTCCCTTCGCGCATGCGCTGTTCGAGTAATAATACCAACGGAGTCACAGGTGTGACACGGATGACCAGAGGCTATATAGCCCGACGTCATCCGCAGCTCTGCTCCTACAGAATCTTCACGGAATGCAAGGATTCTGAGTGACAGAGAAGCTCTGGCGGTCATCCGGGATCCATAGAACAATAGTTACATACGTAACTTTCGTTCTATTTCATCCCTCCTGACAGCCAGAGGGCGGTGCTGAAAGCACTGAATGACTAATACCAATGATGTCACAAGGAATCCTCAGCACACACCTCACTGAGGAGGTCCAGAGGACCCTTGCAGAGGAACCTGGCCCAGGGGATGAGGGGTGGCCACGTTAACGCTGTAAAATCTGGTGAACGTGCTTGGGGAAGCCCATGATGCAGCAGCATATATTGCTTCCAGCGGAACCCCTTTCAGGGCAGCCCAGGAAGCTGAGACGCTCCTGGTAGAGTGTGCCTTCACACCGACTGGCAGGGGGCCGTGCCTTGCAGCATAGGTGTGGCAGGTGACATCCACGATCCAGTGGGAGAGGCGCTGTTTGGAAAGAGGATTGCCCAACCTAGGGCCTCTGTAACACACAAACAGCTGGTCTGAACATCGTATAACGGTAGTAGCTGCAACGTATGCCTCCAGTGCCCTTACTGGGCATAATAATCCAGACCCTTCGCCAGGTGTAGGCTGAAAATGTGCCAGCCTCAACGGTTGGTTACAGTGAGAGTGAGATAACACCTTTGGTACAAATGCAGTGTTTGGCCACAAGGTAACACAAGAGTCCTCAGGGGCCCACCTGAGACATGAGGGGCTGAATGAGAGAGCATGTAGCTCGCTGACCCTCTTTGCTGAGGCAATAGCCAACAAAAAAGCTGTCACATGAAAGCCACTTGAGGTCCGACTGCTAGTTCTCTATCCAAGGAGAGACTGGAGAAACTCTAGAATGGTGGGTACTGTACAGGACACTGGGTCCTCATTGTGATCAGAACACCATAGGGAAAACAGACACCACCTGTTTTCGTACTGCTGACGAGTAGAGGGTGCCCTGGCGCCCAGGATGGTGTGTCTGATGGGATTCGAAACTCCAGTCAGTTGCTGTCTTAGCCTTGCAGTGGCCACAGCCGAAGACGTTGAGGAATGGGGTGCCATATCAGTCCCCTCAATTGAGACAGCAAGTCCCTCCTGGTCGGAAGACACCATGGGACACCCTGACATAGATTGCGTAGCAGTGGGAACCATGGTCGTGCTGGCCAATATGGAGCCACCAGCAGCATCCTGTGGCCCTCCTCGAGGACTCTCTGAAGGGTCGGCCAAATTAGAGAAAGGGGTGGGAAGGCATATAGGAGGACCTTTGGCCAAGGATGAGCCAATGCATCCTAGCCCAGCGCACCTGACGCCCCCATAAGGGAGTACCATAGGGGACACTGAGTCGACTCTTCTGTCACAAACAGGTCTACCTCTGCCTGACCAAAACGGTCCCAGATCATCAGCACTATGTCGCTGTGGAGGGACCACTCTCCAGGAGCAGACCCCTGGCGGAAGAGAAAATCTGAAACCTGATTGTGTTGCCCTGGTAAGTATGCCGCCCACAGGGTGGACAGGTGAGGAGAGGCCCATTCCAGGAGCCCTCTGGACGCTCTCAGAAATTATGCTGACCTGGTGCCCCCCTGGTGGTTGATGTGGTAGACAACTGAGGTGTTGTCTGACCGAACAAGAACATGCTCCCCTTCCAGGTGAGGCAGGAAGTACCTGAGTGCCAAATGCACTGCATGCAGCTCCAGCACACTTATATGCATGGAGCGGTCCTTTTGACCCCAGCGGTCTTGAACCGCTCTGCGTTGCCACACAGCGCCCCATCCCATGGAGCTGGCATTTGTCGTGACCACTTCCCTACGACACACTGCCACTCCCGTGGGGACACCCCTGGACAAATAATCTTTGTCCCTCCATGGAGTCAAGGCATGAAGACATGACCATGTCACTGCGAGCTTGCGATGCCTGTGCAGTCTGGCATCCAGGCGAAAGCTGTTGAGCCACCTCTGCAAGGGGCGAAGTGACAGCAGGCAAAAGGGCACCACCCGAGTGACTGACGTCAATTTGCCTAGTAGCTGCAGGAAGGCAATGTAGGGGAGCTGCATGCCCAGCCTGAACCGACTGACCAGCTGGAGTATGCCCCCACCCTTTGAGCGGATGGGCGAGCTATCATGGAGTGTGAATCCAGAATCACCCCAAGAAAGGTGATCGTCTGGGAAGGAGTCAGGCAACTCTTCTCCAGGTTGACATTGAGGCCCAACTGGGACACATGAGCGAGCAGGCGGTTCGTGTTGCGAAAGGCACATGCCCGAGACGGGGCGCAGAGAAGCCATTCGTCTTAGTATGGCAGAACCTTCACTCCGTAGGCCTGCAGAGGAGAGAGGGCTGCCTTCACGCACCGAGTGAACACCCTCGGGGAGAGAGAGAGCTCGAATGGGAGTACCCGGAACTGCCAGTGGTGACCTCGATAGGCAAACCTGAGAAAGTGGCAATGTTCTGCCGCAATAGGCACATGAAAATAGGCATCTTTCAGGTCTATAGACGTGAACCATTCTCTCGTCGTGACAGCTTAAAGGACTTCTGCTGTCGTGAGCATGTGGAAGGGCAGCTCCCTTAGGTACTGGTTGAGTCCCCTCAGATCTAAAATGGGACAAAACCCGCCCGTCCTCTTTTGTACAAGAAAGTAAGTCAAGTAATAACCTCTGGGTTGTTGTAGAGGGTCCACTGCCTCGATTGCACCCTTGGCCAGGAGGGCGGAAAGCTCCTGGTCTAGTGCTTGAGCTTTCATTGGGTCTACGATTACAGTCATCTTGACCCGGCGTGAGATGTGAGGCCGCCGTCGGAACTGCAGCTGGTAACCATGGGTCAGAGTGGCAACCACCCATTGGTCCATGCCATGAGCAGCCCAGTAACTGAGCTGCTGGTGGGAGAAATATCCGACGGTCGGCCTGGTGGCATCACCATCTCCCTCGACGGCCGGGGGGGGGGGCGGCCAGAGTCCCTTGTCCGAGCCTGCCCAGCTGGTTGATGGACTGACTCACGAAAGCTCCTGTCGGATCTCTGCTGAATCGCACGAGGGTAAAGACCACCCGGCTGATTATGACCCTGAGGTGGCGGCCGAATGCTGGAGTCAGCCGACTGGCGTCGTGGATGCCAAGGAGGTGGAGGGGGCATCGCCCTGCTAAGGCTCGAGAGCTGCTGCCTGGTCTGTCGTGCCTGGACGGTCCGTTCTAGGGCTTCCAAGGCAGCCAAACCGAACAACTCCCCTGGCACCACCGGGACATTACGGAGGGTTCTACAACACGGCTCGGTCAATGTTGACTGCACCAACCAGACCTGTCGGCGAGCCTGGACCAAGAAGGCCATCATGTGCCCAAGTTCCCTCGTCATCAGTGCAAAGGCCTGAAGCATTGCATCGCTAAAGCTCATTGCTGCTGTCGCACCACTAGTCCCCTGAAGGGACGTGGAGAGGGCAAGCATGAGGTACGCCATGGAATTGCCAAGGTGGCCAGCACGCACTCCAGTGTAATAAGCTCTGCAGAAGAATTCATCAGTGACGCGACACTGAGCTTGTGGGCACCGAACATCACTGTACAGAGCCTCCTCTAGTGACACGATGAGCAAGGCAACAGCAGGTTCGATTGTCGGCATGCGACCCAAGCCCGCTGCAGCTGGCTCATGCATAGCCGCCAACATTCGGCCATCTGCGGAGAGGTGCGCAAAGGCTTTTGGGTCCCGCCAGCAACCATGCAACTCCCTCAGGTACTCCTCCGATGGAGGGACGGAAAAGGAAGGAGGGGCCCGTCCGTGCCTGAAGAAGGCACTTTCAGGGGTGGACTCCTCTGGTTGCGGGACGTCCAGCTGCAGCTGTCTCAAGGCCATACGCATGACTTCCTGCATCGAGCCACCACCTGACCCACTAGCTGCGCTCCGAGACGAAGAAAGTGAACCAGTCTCTGAGACTCGAGATGACTGCCCCTCCTCCTCACCTAAAAAGTGAGAGGCAGAGGCAGCCAAAGATAACACATCCTCCTCCACAGTCAGCTCAGGCATGGGTGGGGAGGAGAGTCTGGTCGCTGCCACTTGTTCAGCCCCCAGTTGGCGTGCCTGAAATAGGGACTTCATCTCCGCCAATTCTGCTAACAGCTGCTCCACCCTCGTGGAGAGGCCCTGATCAGACTTGGCTCGCCTCTTCCTAGGAGGGGTCACAGAAACTGTCGCCTCAGACCGGTGCTTCAAGCGCCTAGGTGGAGCCTCCTGCCCAGAAGGCGGGAGGTCACTGCCGAGCTCGGGGCGAAATTGGGCCAGCCGAGCCACCCTCACAGCACGAGGCATAAAGCTACAGTTCATGCAGAGGTTCTCCGACAGAGCCTCCACCAGATGGTCATGTCCAAGGCAGGCAGGACACAGGTCATAACCGTCATCTGCCTGGAGCACGGTTCCACAATCTGTGCAGCAGTGAGAGCCGTCCATGTTCATTACTTTAGGCAGTTTACTCAAGTAAAAAAAACCTGCAACTCAGCAAAGGGGCTGGCACCGCCAGATACATCTAGGATACAGGGCGAAAACAAGGACGAAAGGATAGGCCGAGAATTGGGAGAGGGGGTGCGTGCGCACGCTTGCCGTCACCAATTAACAAGGCAAAGAAACTCAGACAGGCTAACACCGCTAGCTCGGCTGGTAAAAAAAGGACAATTGGGAGAGGGGGGCGCGAACGCTTGCTTTCACCAATTAAGACAAGGCTAGAACTCAGAGAGGTCAGTACGGCTAGCTCAGTCCAACCATTTATGAGGTTGGTGCAAATGACTGGGAGAGGGGGCGAGAACGTTAGCCTTCACCAATTAAGAAAACAAGGCCAGAATGTAGGGAGGCTAGTACCACTAGCTCGGTCCAACCGTGTATCAGGTCTTTCTTGTAAATGAGTCCTCGAGGCTCAGTGGGATTTACCTGTATAAATAAAGGTTGATTGATAAGGTTGGTGAAAATGATTGGGAGAAAGTGCGCGAACGCTAGCCTTCACCAAAGAAAAACAAGGCCAGAACGTAGGGCGGCTAGTACCGCTAGCTCAGTCCAACCGTGTATGAGGTTGGTGAAAATGACTTGGGAGAGGGTGCACGAATCTTAGCCTTCACTAATGAAAACAAGGCCAGAAACTCAGCTGGCTACGTAATTAAATCTTGGAGCACAGTCCAACCAACCATGCGGTTGGAGGTCTCCAGCAAACGGGAGCGGAACGAATGCTACTGCTAACCAATGGCGAAATATAAGTTAAAAAAAACACATCTCACCGGTGTTGAAGCACACACCTAGTAGTCATTAACAAACTTCGGTGCACAGTCCAACCGACCACGCAGTCAGAGGCCTCCAACAGACGGGAGTGGTGCGAACGCTACCGCTAGCCAAAGGCGAAATATAAGTGAAAAACACTACTCACCGGTGTTGAATCACACACCTAGTAGTCATTAACAAACTTCAGAGCACAGTCCAACCGACCACGCGGTTGGAGGTCTCCAACAAATGGGAGCGGAGCGAGCGCTACCGCAAGCGCTACCGCAAGCGCTACCGCAAGCCAATGGCGAAATACAAGTAAAGCACGCTACTCACCGGTGTTGAATCATACACCTAGTAGTCATTAACAAACTTCGGTGCACAGTCCAACCAACCACGCAGTCAGAGGCCTCCAACAGACGGGAGTGGTGCGAACGCTACCGCTAGCCAAAGGCGAAATATAAGTGAAAAACACTACTCACCGGTGTTGAATCACACATAGTAGTCAGACGCTGCAAGTAGGGAGGGGGGCGGAAACCACCGTAGACCCCAACGAACAGCAGAAATACCTTTGAACAAGGTTAAACCGTCCCAGCCCCTAGGACTGCGGACACGCTACTCCCACCAACGGGCAGTCGGGCCTCCGACGACGGTGAAAAGTTCAGAAATCCAAAGGGCTGAAGCCCTGAATTGAACTGCGCGCGAGAAGAAAAAAGGAACAGAGCTGCGGATGACGTCAGGCTATATAGCCTCTGGTTGATCATGTGTCACACCTGTGACTCCGTTGGTATTATTACTCAAACTGCGCATGCACGAAGGGAACATTCAGTGCTTTCAGCACCGCCCTCTGGCGGTCAGGAGGGATGAAATAGAACTACTGGTAGTTACGCAGGAAATAACTTTTTTTTTTTTAATGACTTTGCTTCATTAAGCTAAATAAATCTCTTCAGTATTAGTAATATTAACCTGTGCAGCATAATTTAGATTTGGATTAAATAAAAAATAAAAACAGTGAAAGGAATGCATTATTTTATAACACAATAACTAGGAGCTAACAAAAAGCATTTTGCCCAGAACATCCTTATAAAAGATTAATAATCTCAATGGATTTCTTTCCAGGTAAAATAACGGTTTAAATTTATAACGGATTTCCAAATGGTCAATCTTTCCCCTAAGAAACACTACAGGGCAGTAATGTATGAAGATAAAATAGCCACACAAGCGTATGATATTTATGCATACAATACGATCTATAAGTGTACCACAAGTTTTATAAATGCATAGAGTTCATCAAATGTACACATTTAAAGTTGCACAAATAAGTATATTCTGCGTATTATTAAATTTATTTTTTCTTTCAGCTGCTCCCTTCTTCAGGGGTCTCCACAATGAATTAAGTCGCATGAAGACTGGGCAATTATTTTTATGCCAGATGCCCTTCCTGACACAACTACAGATCATAAGCCCTAATATTAAAACACATTTGCTTACATTGATGCTACTGGATTCCTAAAATGTTACATTTTGTGAACCGTACGGTTAAAATCATCTAAAAATAGTCGGCTATTCATCTAAAAATGTATCAGGAAGGACATATATATTACTAGAAAAAAATATATATTTTCCCTGTAGTTTTTCCATGAGATGAATAACCTAAATTAAAATGTGTGCATTAGAAAAATTGTTTATTCATTTGTGAATCTTGTCATTAGTAAACTTGTGGTACACTTGTGGATCTTGTTGTACGCCTACAGATGTTGTCCGCTTGTGTGACTACTTACGAGACTGATTTATCTTCATAGTAACATTACTGTGAGGTTAAAAGAATTTCAAACAATTCTGACAACGTAGAAAATTTTTGAACGATTTGTAGGCTTCGTCAGGACCTGTCAAGTTTACTGACATCAAATAAAAGAATAAAAACAAAATAAATGTGTTGCTGATTTTTCCAGAAGATTTAAAAAGTTAGAAAATTCACAAAAACATCAACCCTCCTCAAATGAAACTTTACGTTAAATACTCACCACGTTAGATCCATTGTACATCAGTTTTCTTCCCCTGAACAGATAAAAGATGAACATTAAAATAACTGACAGCAGCTTCACAAAAGTCTTTGGTTGTCTGAGTATACCTGAACAGAGTTTGGGTCATTTCATCCATATCTGCTAATGAGCTCTCAGAGGAGTTCCTGCTGCCTCTGCGCTCCCCAGACAGACTCCTGCCTCTGCTGCTAGACCGGACCACCTGAGGATAGGTCTCTCTGGATCGGGAGCGGCCCCTCTCGGGGATGACGGGTGATGTCAGAATGTCCCTTCGCACCTTCCTCTGTCTGACAAAAATCAGGGTTTTGACAAATGCAGCGTTAAATACTGGAGGGTCGAAGGAAAATTAATGGGAACCAACTTTTTGAGTTCCGTCTCTTTCCGCCTGCGCTGCCGGTCCTGGATGTAGGCTGTTGGGTCGAAGCGTGGCACTCTGGACCCTGAAAGACAAAATTTTTAGCATTTAATTATCTGATAAAATTAAAACAAGTTGATTTACTCGAAGATCGTCACAGGCAGTACCTGTCGGGGAAGGCGATGGCCTGGGTATGTGAGCCCGTGCTCCAGAAGAGTCCGCTCTTCTTGCTCTTTCCACTGATCTATGCCGACTGTCCTCCGTTCGCTCTCTAGACTCAGACCGAGCCCTGACTGTCCCATATCCAGACCTCCTCTCACGAGAAAGAGAGCGATAGATCTCTCCATCAACTCGAGAGCTGACGTGGCCCGACCCAGGAGTCACTCTGCTGCAGGCACCGAGACAAACAGCAAGTAAGTAACATTCAGAGGTCAAACACTGGTCTGCACTGAAGGCAAATGAATGACAGAGAGAGTAAAAGGTATAGTACACGCTTAGATTGTCTAACCCTCTCCGCAGTAATGCCAGTTCATTGGTGAGACTCTTGACACGAACACGGAGGGTGCACTCCGATGCTCTCAGCTCCTCTAGCTAGAAAGGAAGGAGGAGAGTTAAAACCAGATGTGTCACAAAGAAAACAACAGGAACCTTATCCAGAACACGTTCACCTGCTCCATAAGGAGTCGCTGCTCCTGGCACCTCTTACTCGTTGACCTTTGACTTTTGGCCCTCTCCTTGATGAGCTGTTCCTCCAGTGTCCTCACCACGTCCCTGATCCTCCAGTCCTCTCGCTCAGCCGTAGAACACTTACCACTCAGCTGAAGTCGGCCCAGAGCCTTGGCCATGCCTTCCTTTTCTTCCTTTACTGCAGCCAGCCTTGAAGAAAAGAAAATGGCTGCCACTAAACAAGTCTCTATGCACATATGGGTTAAGATAGATTAAACTAGAAAAAAAAATACATTTTATGTTTAAATGCAGTGTTAAGGCCGAGGATTTCAGCTCATGTAGTCATTTAATACTACGGTATTTATTTGTTATATTTGATCATTTATTAAATTACATTTATGACAGTACAGTTACCTCAGTACGATTCTAAATATAAGTTTAGCTCATCCAAAGAGCCACAGCACCCTGTTGATGTTAAAACATGGTGTACAATTAAATTTAGCAGATATTTCTGATAAACTACAAACACCTGAACTGACTCTCAGAGAACTTTGTGAGTTTTGGGGAAAAATTAAAGTTAAACAGAGACACATCTTTGTTATAGTTTGAGACATATAAATATTTGTCTTTTAGTGTTAATATTTATTTAGAAAAACTAAAGCAGCAGAAACAGCCTCTCTCACCATGAGAGAAACTCAACAGGCTGCTCGCTCCAGTGGCGGTGCGCATCTCTATCTGTCTCTCTGCCCTGGAGTTGGGTCACGAGCGCAAGTTGGACATGTTTGTACGATGACGCTCTGAACACATTAACATTTAATACAAAGTTAAGATACTAAACTCTCGGGGAGGTCAGGGCGTGGTGCGGGAGGAGGGGTTGCAGTGAATTGGTTATGTGCAAACACAAATGTTTAATACGTATGTGTTAAATAATTTATTACATGTCATCACCATCATGAAGGGGCGGGCGGTTCTGTTAGGGTAGCGGGTGTTCTTCTTTTATTGCTGCAGGTGAGCTTTCACCTGCAGTTTGTCTCTGCTGCTCACACCGGGGCTCACCGTGAACCGGACAGCAGGACCCGCTCTGCTCTGATTGGGTCTAACTGTGGCTCTGCTTCTCTATTTGTTGAAAGCAGCGTCAGTATCATTATTACATTGTATGGTTTTAACAAGACCACAACAAAACACTTTTTCTCCCCCCCTCCTCATTTTTACAGATGACGGAAATCCATCCACATTCAAAATGAAGGAAATCCATCACAGCGACAGAGAACCTTAATCCATGCAGATGCGATGGTGGAGCCAGAGGGTGGCCAATGGTAGCCTTGACAAAACATACATTAATCTTCGGCCACCTCAATCATTTGGGGAAACTATACTTTTAAACAATCTAAAAACTAGAAAGCAGTTTCCTCAAATGATAATGGAGGTTGGTTTACATATAAGATGGAGTGGTGGCCATCTTGGCTTTTGATGAGGCAACCCAGTTTTTGAAAGGAACCTTTCTTACACCTAGATGTAGCCACACACCAAAATGGAAGTCAGTACCGCACTCATTTTTCAAGTTATCTCTCTCACAACATTGATGGAAAGAGCGCATTTCCAATTCCCTCTTTTTGCTCAAGACGGAGGAGGAAAAAATAGAATTGTATCTGAAAGGTAAAAGTATTGTAAGATGACAAGAACCAAGCACGTATGTTGAAGCAAATTTAAAGAAAAGGTTTTTGTAGGAGTTGAGGAGGTTTCAATGAATTTCTATGGGGAAAATATTGGAAATGCAAGTTAAATGTTAAAAAATATATATATATATAAATGACAAAACCCCAAAGTTATAGCACCCATCTCCTGCATGAACTCTCAGTGTTGTGACTTATGGTTAGCTAAAATAACAAAGTATAAAGAAAGTAATTAGATTACATAAAGAATGTACAAGAAAACAACAAAACAGAAAAACAATAAGTATTTATTCAATAAATGAAACCTACTCTTCTCGTAGACGCTGTATTTCTAAATGGGCAGATTTGTTAACTCCTTGTGAGGTGAGAGTGCTTATCTCCCCCCTGAGCGTTCGGATCTCCTTCTGAAGAGTAGCTGGGTCTGGTTTCCCCACATATGGCAGAGGTAAAGGGTAGTGGATCCTGCACATACAAAGCGTGTAACATCCTGAAATTAAACCTAGGCACAAACGAGGACAGAATCTGGCAGTAAGTAAGTTGTGGTGTAAATAATACAAAATCCATTCAAAAATACACAAACCTGTCAAACTCTACAGTATATATGAGGATGAGGTATCTTTTGGTGGTGAGGGCAGATGACTGCTGCTGACCGCGAGGACGACCGACCACGCCTGCTTTTCTGTTACGCAGCAGCTCCAGGTCGGCGTAAGTCAGGAGGTCAAGAGTTACTGAATCACTTGTCTGCAAAGAGAAATAAATAAACCAAGCCTAATTAACAGATCGGTTGATCTCATAATAAAGACCTTTCATTTTATACGCAGTAGGTTGAATTTCATACATAATAACAGTTACATTTATTAATTTTTGCTTCATCTGACACCTCTGTATCGATCGTAACAAAGAATTTAATGCCTTGACTCACAATGTTTGCACGACTTGACAAATGAAATGTCTACGTAAACTCCTCGCTAACCGTTCAGTAACTCTCACATTTTCTTCCATACCCTGTCCTTTTGGTCCCCGTCCATGAAACCAAAGAGTCCGACTGACTGAACATTTCCCGCTCAAGCGGAAACGTCAAACTCAAATTTAAGAGCCTCCTCCTCAGCCACCACAGCCTCAAGCAAATCTGTCCGTTTAAATCCTTGTATTGACTTGGTGCACGTTCATTCTTCCACTAAATATACAGCAGCAAAGTTACCTTCCTGACAGCAGATTCCAACATGCTACAGAAAATCGGGAACTGTTTGAAGTTGCCAGTTTTGCGAGTGAGGTCTTCAATATCTGAGGAAAGCAAAACAAATTATGGGTAAACGATAAAACATCCACAATATGTAACTGCAAATACATTTATTTATGCTGCTTACACGCTGGGTCGAATTCTCCTCTCCACTGATCTGCTGTAACCGAGTCAGAGATTTCTACTATCAGCAAATTCTTGTCCAACTCCATCTTCACAGAAAAGTCCACACCTCGAAACACAATGTCCTCCATCACCTCAGAGCCCTCCTCCATTGCCCCGAGTCTCTACTGCAGAGATTAATTACACTTTAGTTATTATAAATCAAAGGCAAGGTAAAGTTTTACACTTCTCCCACTAGAGTTTTGGACTAAAATCATCTTAAGATGAGAAAGGGTGAATTGTAGCCGTTTTGGCAAACCTTAATAAATAAATTAAGTGACTGTTTTGCATTTGTTTTAGTGAGTTTTCTTGTAACTTATCCGTTTCATGTTCATTGATCTGTATTTAAGTCTGTGTTTTCAGATTCATATAGAAAACGATCTCAGTAAATTTTACAGTGTGGTAGTAGCTGGGAATCATTCACAACACATACTCCGAGCTCTAAATGACCGCAGTCTAAAAACTTTGCTGTATACTTTGCATTTACTTTAGGAGCTCTGTCTGTTAGCAAAATATTTTATGAACTGCTGGATTAATTTTTAATTGAATTTTCAGTTTAACTTTTGAAGTCAAAACTAATTCAAGATGGTTGACAACCGACCTTAAAAATGCAACTGTCAAACTCGATCAACAGATGAGCTGAAAATGGGTGTGTTAGTAGCTGAGAGTCATTCACATACTCTGAACGCCAACGTCCAGCAAAATCTTGCAGTATTGCATAGAACGACTAAATCTTCATAATTTTTCAATTTAAGATGATTTTAAATTAAATCTCTGGTATTAAAGGCATTTCTTCAAGGAATACTTTTGTGCATACTTGAACTCATTTGTAACAAAAATGTCTGTATTATGAGAAACACCACAAGCACAACAGAGTATTCCAATAAAAAGTCTCAAATATTTTGTTCTTAAGAACTATGTATTTATTACTAGTGCTGAAATTATTTTAAATAATTCATAAAATCCTCACTGTGTTGTTGCACCTGGTTTTACCACAGGGGGCGGTAGTGAGATTATAGGAGTTGTAAATATAAGGAGTTATAAACATATATTTTAAGGAAAATAATGTTGTATGTGATGAATCAAACCAAACATAAAGTCAACAAAGATAGCAATTTGTGACTTCACGAGGCCGGTTGATGATTGCAACAGTAGTAGTGCGTTAAAATTGTGTTAAATCTGTCACGCTTGACTTCACTTTATCTCTAATAAATCTGTGAAAACATCATTTATCATTGTGATTTCACTTCGCTAGCTAAATTTTTGACAATACATTCGTTTCATAAAAACTACATAAACTATGCTTGTGACGTAAATAATTGTTTTTACATTTCAAGATAGGTCAGCTAGCCAGTTATCATATGCTTCAGTAAGCTAACCATCGTTAGCCAGTGTTAGCTTCTGACTTTATCGCCAGCTTGACAATATTTATGAGACAATTCTTAACCACAAACCAGTGAAAATCCGTACTGAAGATAGTTTACCTCGCGTTGCAATGATGGTTCTGAATTGCAAGCTGTCAGAACATGGCACTTGTCGATAGAAGTTTATCCGCGGGGGCTCGTTTCGGGACGTAAATCATTCAGCTAAAACACTGAACGGTGAGGTTTTAAATACAAAACAAAAAGAAGCGATCCCTCCGTGGAGACAGAAGCGGTTAAACAACCGGGAACCGTTAAATTCTTCTTCTTCGGGACTATGTTGCTCTTCCTCGGGCTCAGTTTAACCAAGACTGCGGGTTGGATTATCGCCCCCTAGAGGCGATTAAGAGACACAGCAGGGGGAAGACAAAATTAAGGACGGTCTGTCCACGCCCCTTTCTGTTTGTCCTGGTTCATACCATACCATTTTTATTTATAAAGCACTTTAAACAGCGACTGGGCCAACCAAAGTGTGTACAAACAGAAACAAACAGGCAAAGCACACAGCAACACATAACATAACGTAAAATCGAAATATAGAAACAAAATAATAGCAGATAATAACATAATGACTAACACAGTGTGATGCATACAGGATCAGCACAAATCATACAGTGTTGAAAGCCAGGGTCGCCATGGTTTCCAGATACAGTTGGTCATTCTCCTGCACATCCTGCAAACACACCAAAAAATAAAGAAATGAGGACAACTAAAAAAGTAAAAGAGTGCAGAGAACTACCAAAGCAAAACAGTCTAAACAGTCTATTTACTTTCTGAAACTCTGGACAATTTACCGGCTAGATTACAACAAGAAGAGTCCTCAGTTAAAATGAATGTAGGTGTTACAATAAAGATCAAAGAGTCGTCAAAAAATGTATTTGTTTCTCCCACTCTGGCATGCTGTTACTTCAGTTTGAGCCCAAATTCAATAGACAAAAATAAAAGGAGTCTATAACAAGGAGAAGAAAAATATCCAGTGCAATGTTGCATTTCAAACACAAAAAAGGTCTGTGGATGTTGTTCCTGTTAGTGCATCATATCTTCCTACCTGGTATTCTTTCAAAAGATGCTCCACAGGCTCATCCAGGTAGATCACCGCTTCAACTCAATGTGAGGAGTCGCTCAAGTGGAAAATGTTTAACAATATATTTGTCATTACTTAATGGAATTTTCAACTGCTATATTGGAAAGTCAACATTCAGAAGAGTTGTGAATGCTCCTAATTTCACGTTTCTTTCCCCGCAGAGGATAAACTCAGTATTTTTACAAACTCCTACTGTTCTGTTTCAATCTGTGCCAAAATGTACGGTTTTGTTTATCAATTTTTTTACATGAGTATACTCATACATGGATACAGTACAAGTAAACAAAAACATAGATAAATATTTTATGTCCTTCCTGTCTTTAGCTGCACCTTGAGTACCTTTTGATCTTTAGAGCTATATGAACGGAATGGAAAATATATTTATTTCCTTGCTTCACGCCAACCTGCTGGGTTTCCTTACATAGAAACTTTTTGAAACTTTTTGGAGCAGGGACGCACGAACACCTCGCTCCATCCGCAGACAAGGCGCCTGTCATCGGACGGAGCGAGGAGTCCTGCCTCTCTGCATCCACAGACGTGTCTGAGCCCCAAGGCTCGCCTGTCTGTGGAAGCATAGGCTCCATGAACACGACCATCTTTTGCTTTTTGTTTAATTCCTAAACGTTTGCTAGTTTATTTTGATAGTCAACAAAGCCTTGCCAATTTATAATCATAAGAGTAACTGTGCACAGTTTATGATTATAAATTATAATTGTAAATTTTATGATTATAAAAAAGCGTGAGTGGTAAAAACTTTTGTTTTTCGGAATGCATTGCAGTGAAAATGACGACGTCCGTGTGACAAAATTTTCTTTGAATTTATAAAAAATATAGATGAAATCAATTAACAGTAAATCAATATAGACATCTTGTCCTCCCTGGGCTGCCACCTTACAGTGGTGGAGGGATTTGAGTGTCCCAATGATCTTAGGAGCTATGCTGTCAAGGGCTTTACGCCACTAGTAGGGTGACCCTACTAGGGTCACCCAAGGCAGACAGGTCCTAGGTGAGGGACCAGACAAAATGCAGCCCAAACACCCCTATGATGAGCAAAAGAAATGGACTTGATGTTCCCTTGCCCAGACGTGGGTCACCGGGGCCCCACTCTGGAGCCAGGCCTGGAGGTGGGGCACATGGGCGAGTGCCTGGTGTCCGGGCTTTTACCCATGGAGCTCGGCCGGGCACAGCCCGAAGAGGAGACGTGTATCCCCCTTCCCATGGGCTCACCACCTGTGGGAGGGTCCAAAGGGGTCGGGTGCAATGTGGGATGGGTGGTGACAGAGGGCAGGGACCCTGGCGGTCTGATCCTCGGCTACAGAAGCTGACTATTGGGACGTGGAATGTCACCCCACTGGTGGGGAAGGAGCCTGAGCTGGTGTGTGAGGTTGAGAGGTTCCGGCTTGAAATAGTCGGACTCACCTCTACGCATGGCTCTGGCTCTGGAACCAGTTTCCTTGAGAGGGGCTGGACACTCTTCCACTCTGGAGTTGCCCCTGGTGAGAGGCACTGAGCAGGAGTGGGCTTACTTATTGCCCCCCATCTTGGTGCCTGTGTGTTGGGGTTCTCCCCGGTAAATGAGAGGGTGGCCTCCCTCCGCCTACGTGTGGGGGGACGGGTTCTGACTGTCGTTTGTGCTTATGCACCAAACGGCAGTTCAGATTATCCACCCTTTTTGGAGTCCTTGGAGGGGGTACTGGAAAGTGCACCTCCTGGGGACTCCCTTGTTCTGCTGGGGGACTTCAATGCTCATGTGGGCAATGACAGTGACGCCTGGAGGGGTGTGGTTGGGCGGAACAGCCCCCCTGATCTGAACCCGAGTGGCGTTCTGTTGTTGGACTTCTGTGCTCGTCATGGATTGTCCATAACGAACACCATGTTCAAGCATACGGGTGTCCATATGTGCTCTTGGCACCAGGACCCTAGGCTGAAGTTTGATGATCGTCTTTGTCATCGTCTCATCTGACTTAATGACGAGGATCTTTAGCTTTTTTGATACCGTTTTTACCAAATCTGTTTTTATTAATTGTGTATATTACAGCAAAGCCACTAAATGCAAATCCAGCATTTTAAACTTTTTAATTGCCGAAGCCAAAATGGCAATATATTTATCTCACAGAGACAGACTGCAGGCTGGACCTCAACTTGATGCCGTGTCTCAGTGGAAGTGCAACATCAAGGCCAGACTGGCGTTGGAGTTTTGCTTCCACAGAAACACCGGAGACTTGAACAAGTTTGTGGAACTGTGGGGTTTTAAAAAG